AATAGGTCTACGCGGAAGGTGGCTGGGGGCCAAACTCGTCGCGAGCCACGGTTGAGTAAATCACATGCAGCACCCTTTCCCGCAGGCAAGCGTCAAAGGTTCCAAGTACACGCGGAACGTCCGTTGCGTCTAGACGCTGGAGACATTTCCTGTTCGCGTGGGGTGCAGCTGCAAACGACGACCCTGCCGTGTTCATGCAGCAGAGCGATGTTTAACTACCTTCAGATATGCGACAACCATTGCCAGCGCAACGCAAGCGTTGAGTTTGCCGCGCAACGCGCGCAAAGCCATGCCATTCGAGTTTGCAAGCGCAGACACTTTGTGGAGGGGTGTGGCTTACAAAACTAATATTGCAGAATTGTAGCTGACATCAGCCAGCTACCCCCGACGTGGAAAACCTCTTCTCAATAACACATTTTTCCACTTCAATGAACTTTGATCATGTGTCAGTACATTGTGGTTTACCGCTTCGCGCAGCGACCGCTCGTTTCCAGTCTAGAGACCTCTGCAATATAGAGGCGCTACTCATAGGATATACTCAAAGAGTCAGTCTACACAGCTTCTGGATTCACGCGAAATGTCCTACATCTCTATAAACCTGCATCGCAAAGTCACGCAAAGACCCGCCAGGAAGCAACCACTCGCCGAAGAGCGTGTCTCTGTGGAAGATTCAACGCTTGCGATGACATAGATCAGCAGCCTGACTTCTAATTCTAGCTATCTAGTAGTAAATGCAAGCCTATTATGCTTCTCTACACTCGCAGCTGTCGCTTCTGGCGCAGAATGCAAACTCATGAAAATGAACTTCATCCCCGTCATCCTGTTTGAGCACATGGATCGGTTACACTGCCCAGGTGTACGCCTACGCAAACTCGTCTTGCTCTTCCTTTTCCCCTTTTGCTGCAACCGCCATAGAAGCTAGGCCGGATGCGGTTGTTCCGGCCACGGCCACCCGGCCATATAGCCAGTAGGTCACGACCGTTCAGCCACGACGAGGTAGCCCGAAAGCGCAGCAGGTGAGGAAATAATGTCACGAGGAGGATGAATGTGATGAGGAGAGGCGCGTTTTTTCTCCATGCAGTTCGCGTACTATGCACGCGAGGGTAAATCATGATCGTCGCTGCTACTTGAAAGCTCTCTACGCTGCTGCCTCTGCTGCCATGATCATGTCTGTCCACGTAGATTTCAATCGTGATCATCGCTGCTTGAACACCGTGGATGTATAATTGCAGAAGTTTGTGTTGCGCAGGATAGAAGCTGAGTTTCCACGTGCCTTGATGGTGCAAAAAAAGCGACGAAAGTGTTTGCAATAGGCATTGCTTGCGTTCACGGCGGCAAAAACTTCCAGAACATCGTCCCCAAGGTCACGATCTGCAATCCCGCTTAAAGCAAAATTCAGCGTAGCTTTTTGTTGAACTTGTTCCACACCCAGACGGCGAAGCCCGTGCTTGTATATAAACCGACGGGTATGGGTATACGTGGACGGTGACTGAGGGCCAAACTCGTCAGTGACGAGCCACATTTGCAATGGATCTCAAGATTGATTACATCAAAGCATCCTTTACCGCAAACAAGCATCAAAGATTCCAAATGCACACAGAACATCCGATGCGTCTACTCGCTGGAGGCATTTCCTGGTCGCGCGGGGTGCAGCCGCAAATGACGACCCTGGTCGTGCAGCAGAGCGACGTTTATAATCCGATATTCTATTTTAGAAGAAATGCATTGAATATTTCAAAAAGGAGGTGCAATTTGAGCGGTTTCCAAGCAAGGGTTTCAATAGAAGAAATACATGGTGCAAGAGGTCGTTTGTTGATGCTTTTTTGATGCTTTTTGGGGACTCTGAACTCCAATATCTTCTATTTGAACGGTCTTGCCAGAGAAGCAGGATTCCATGATATTTACAGTGTGGAAAAATTTACCCTGGACACACTGGGCAAGCCAAGCCCAAAAATCAGAGGACCTAGTGCACCATCCAAGATTTCCAGAATCCCGGTACAAAACGGTCAAAAACCTTGAGTTCTTTTAAAGCTTTTTCTGAAGCTCAGATCCACAAGACAGCAGAACAACAAGTGAAGGTCAAATAGAAGATATTGCCAAAGCAACCAAGCACATCAAATAGAAGAAATGTATATGAACATTTTGGCGTTGAAAAGGTAGGTCTGGCAATATCTTCTAATTGAAACTGAATGCAGAGCAGCCTTTTCCTACCCCATGACTCCATCTTCAGAGCTTTGCTCTGAGTCATGCCTGCGCCAAGCAGACCTTCCCAGTCAGGAACGACTATATATCTATCTATCGAAATGTCTATCTGTTAGATCTATTTCTCGATCTTTGCATATTTCCCAGAGATGCCATCTGCACTGAAGATACAGCGGACCGGCGAGGAAGAAAACAATCTGCATGGACCAAAAACGAAATCAAATAGAAGCTCCAAAACAAGCATTTCAAAAAGAAGAGGTACTTCACCGGACAGATTTCAAACAGAAGATATTAGATATTAGGCTATTTAGTGGTTTTTGCAAAAGTAGCTATATAGCATGATATAACGTCTTTTACACTCCGGCGAAGCCCTGTTCTTCGCGCAACGAAAGCCATTTCAAACAGAATATGGAAATTCTGAATATTCGGGAATTTCTTTTATCCTTGAGGTTTGGATTATAATTACCTTCAGATATGCGACAGCCATTTCCAGCGCAATGCGCTCATTGAGTTTGCCACGCAAAGCACGCAAAGCCGTGCCATTCGAGTTTGCTAGCGCAGAAACTTGTGGAGGGGTGTAGCTTACAAAACTAATATTGCAGAATTGTAGCTGACATCAGCCAACTACCCGATGTGGAAAGGCTCTTCTCAGTAACATATTTTTCCACCTCACTGAAGCTTGATCATTTGTCAGTACACTATGACTTACCGTGCCGCGCAGCGATAGCTCGTTGCCACTCTACACCCCTCCGCAACATAGAGACGCTTCACATTCCAAACGTATGCTCAAAGAGTAAGTTTACACAGCGTCTGGAATCACGCGAAATACCCTATACATCTCTAAATCTGCATCGCAAAGTAACGCAAAGACCCGCCAGGAAGCAACCACTCACCGTAGAGCGTGTCTCTATTAAGGACTCAATGCTTGCAGTGACATAGATCAGCCTGACTTTCAGCTATCTAGTAGTAAGCGCAAGCTTGTTTTGCTTCTCTGCGTTCGCCGCTGTCACTTCTGATGCAGAATGCAAACTTTTGAAACAGAACTTCATCCATTACACTGCGCCCACGTGTGTGCAAACTCGTTTTGGTCTTCCTTTTCCCCTTTTGCAGCGACCGCCATAGAAGCAGCCAGTAGGTCACGACTGTCCGGTCACAGCCACGGCCACGGCCACGCGGCCACGGCCACGTGGCCATATCCGGCCACGCAGCCATCCGACCGCGTCCTTGGCCAGGTCCGGCCACGGCCAATCCAGCCACAGCCATCCGGCCACGGCCACGGCCATCCGGCCACGGACACGGCCACCCGGTCACCGCCACGGCCACGGCCATCCGGCCACGGCCACGGCGCACGGCCACGGCCATCCGGCCACGGCCAGCCGGCCACGGCCAGCCGCCACGGGCCAGGCCACGCACGAAAAAAATCAATCCTCCAGTTGGTCATCTTTTGGTGGTGTCTCGGTCATGTTTCGGCGGCGTCTTGCTCATGTAGTGCGCCGGCTATGTTTTCCAGTTCTTGTTTGTTATGTTTTGTTGGTTTGGTGGCGTATCGATTCTGTCTTCACAGTGGTTCGCTGATGTTTTGGTGGCGTCTCGCTTATGTTGTGGCTTTCGTGATAATATCTTGTTACCCTCTGTAAAGTCTTTATTCCTTATAGTCCTTGTGCGAATCGAATTTGCACGCATATGTGAGACATGGTTGTATATAGTATATGTGTGCACACACATCTTCTTGGTGCCATTTTTGTTTTCTCCGTGAAGAAATGGTCCTTCAGACGTATAGACCATGAATGAACAAACACTTGAGCACTTGAACATACAATTCAGCCATCGGCGAACATTCCTTAAATGCTTCGTGGTCTATGGAACATACTATATAATTTTACTTGGATATTGATTTTGTTTGCGTAGTTTTGTGTAAAAACTATTGGATTGCATTTCGCTTTTTGTGTGTTTAAAGAACTGTCCTTGAACTTCGATGTGTGAAAGAACAATGCAATGAACAACCACGCACAAAAATTGTGCTAAATCTTGGTGGATGCTTTGCTATCGGGGTTGTCAGCTGTGTTGATTGATATTATCTCGTCTCGGTGATGCTCTGGTTGTCCTAGTTGTGCATGTACGTTTTTTGGCAGGGGTTCGATCTTGTTTGGTCGGTCATGTTTGGTCTCTCCCTTATGTTTCGTTGGTGTCGGATTTCCGTACTGTAGGTCGTGTTTTTTTTGACAGTATCTCGGTTGGTTCTTTTGTAGTGATGTTTTGGTGGTCATGTTGGTTTCTCAGTCGCATTTTGGCAGCTGTTACGTATCTGAACAATTAGTTTTTGTACATTTTTTGTAGTGTCTCACAAGCGTAGTATCCGAATCAGTCATGCCTTGGTTGCGTCTTGGGCATGGTTTACTATTGTTTTGACGACATCTGGTTCAGGCGTTGGCATTGCGTCTCTTGTGTTTAGAGAGTCAGGGCCTGGTTTAAACTATATATGTTACAACTTGCCCCTAACTTTCGGGTATGCTTGCGTTTGGATGGATTGAACATATTTCATACTGGCATGCGTTGCAACGTTTGTCCACTCGAACATAGCTTGGTGGCTCGCATCAGATTTGGATAACGCAGTCTGCCGCATGCTTCAACCCCCATGGTTGCGTGCGCACTAAACAAGCAGAAATCGTGCATTTAATTATATAGTTTGCACATCTATCGCGTAATTATACAGATTAACTTGAACCCAATTGTGATTTGAGTCTGAGATTTTCCTTTCCTTGTTTGTTGATCTTGTTTGTAATGTTCATGCTGTGAAGGCCTTTTGCCAGCGCCAAATGTGGCAAGCGAAGATGATGCTGATCAAAGCAATCGAGCACCGCAGCCGCAGCCGGTACCTTTTGGTAGTGGCGTGGCCACCGGGATGGCGTGTCCAGCTGGCAAAACATCGCGGCCGGACACTTGTTTCATGACACATCGCTACGCCCACTCACAGCATTGTGGGGTGCAGCCTGTGGTTGCCAAATTCCATATGACATTCTTCATTGTACTGTACAATTTGCAACTCAAAATCGTTTGTATGTGTCAATCCACATTGGATATTTACACTTAGCAAGGTTCCTGGGGTTTGGCGACCACAGGATCACCCTGAGTCATTGTTTTTAGTTTGGTTGTTTGCGATTCCGGAACATTTCTGGGTTTGTAGTTGTTAGTTTGTTTTTGTTTTGTTTTTTTACACATTCTCCTACTAAGAACACTAGTCTTACTAGGCAGCAAAAAGGATGAGCGTCCAGTGCTAATAATTGACTTACGCAAAGAAAACAAGTAATCATAAAGGTTCCAAAACACTGAGTCAAATGTTTCACAAATTGTTTCAGGTGAAGCAGGAGATTGCCTACCTTGCACGCCGCATTGACGAAGTGGGGCGATATTTTTTAGCACTGGAGTCCATGGTTGGCTTCCTGATTGATTGGAGCACGTGTGCGTTCTGTAACATGGTGTTTTCCTATTAAAACACATACTGAAAAGAACACTGACACCAAGAGAATGACATGTGAATGTTACATGTGCGCGGAGCACTTTAGGCTCAGGAGCCTTGGGGCCAGTCCTGGAGCGCTGCTTGAAGGACTTGGAGGAGTGCCTTCAAGAGCCTGACAAGTTGAAGGACCCTGTTTGCATTGTCAGATGGTTTTTAGATCATCTAAAATAATGTCATACAGGTGTTTTCGAGAGGCCAGGCTGGAAGCTGGACATATTGCGGCGAGATGGTGTGTGCGTCAAGTGTGGGGTATTATAAATAACGTCATCATCAATCAGGAGCCCAGCACATCTTTAGTGTGCTCCGGCTCCTTGCAGTGGGAACCCCCTTTAGTGTGCCTGCCTCACTCCCTCCCAGAATATACAGGACACGTTTGTCCCTTTGAGCTTTATGGCATCAACCTTTTGCTCAGCCCGTAACGTCAAACGTGTTTGGCGGTGTTTGGATGTATTAGCACTAACACCAAGTGTGAGGAACACTTGGACGGGGGAAGGTGCTGAGTGACTAAGCTCTTTCACCAGCGGCACGGGCAGGGAAGGGAACACCCAACATGTTTGAACGGCCAAGGTTTGAGGGAGGGTTGTCTCCACAAAACCAGGTATATATACATATCTATAAACACTGACTCGGTACTCGTGTCTCCCTGCGTGGTGTATGGATCGCCGCAGTTCCTGCTGTGTGGTGTTGCCCTACCAAGCTTGTGTCCTTGCCTGTCTCTGGTAATCTCCCTGCTCGTCCCAAGCTTGTCTCTCTTTGTCTTGCGTGTTTGATCTGCGGTTTGCTTGCCACTGCCGTCCTGTGTTCCAAGCTTCTGCTTGTCTCTTGCGCGTGTGAGCAACATGCTATCTGGGGCCTGAGTCTATGCCAGTGTAATGAATAAAGGTTTAAACATAATTTGCTAGGCAAAGACAACATGTAGCAAAACAAAGGTCTGAAAAAGGTCTGTGTCTAAAGAAAACAAGATCTAAACATGTCGAAACAAAGGGTCTGCAACAATTTCAAACAACTCTTACAAAGCAACACGGCCGTGAAAAGGTCTGTTGAAACATAGTCTTTTAAAGCATGTCTAAAATAAATACGAGTTAAACAAGGTTTATGTTACATAAAAGGTCGTTAAATCATGTCAATAATATTATGTATTTTTAACGATATATATATATATATAAAGAAACAAGGTCAACAAAAGTCCAAATAAACATGTCAAAAGAGAAAGGTCCAAAGAAAGGTCTATGAACAAATGGTATGGGAATCGACTCGAATCGAAGGATGCTGATGAGGTGCAAAGTTTCATCGATGCTGCCGTCCGACTGGGCTTGAGCCCGGCAAGGTACAAGCCATTGCAGAATCGCTTGCTTCTCGGAATTGAACTCATGAATCGAACATAATCAGGCCGATTTCATTTTTCTGAGTACTTTTTGCAGTATGGCGTTTTTTGATTGGATTTCTTTTCCTGGCAAGTGTTTGGTCCATTCATTCAAACATCGTGACTGGGCGACTTCGCCGTGAGGTCTTGGCTTAACCATGGCCGGCGTCACCAAGAGATCCAAACCGAGTTGGCCACAGCTGCCCCATTTGCTGACGATGCAGTGGGACTTCAACAGTTGCCCAGCACAACTGGCCATTGGCCGTCCGTGTGTTTATAATAAAACTGCACAGAATGATAGTTTCACGGAATCATTTTTCAAAAGCTAATCTTCTTCCCAGGAGTATCGACGACGGTGTCAGGAGCGGCATCGGTGCACAAGAGCTGCAGCGAGCCAGGCAGCGTTTGGATCAGCTGAAGGAGAACGAGACCAATGAAGAAATGTTACGGGCAGCATGCAGAGGTGATTTCACCACAGTTGAATTGAAACTCAGAAAAGGTGCAGACTGCAACTGGCAACAAAAAACCAGTGGGTACTCCTTGTGGCATATTGCTGCAGACACCGGTGACCTTACTCTGGCAAATTTGGCCAAATCCTTCAATGCTCGAACGACCTTGCTTGACAGATCTGGTTGGACCAGTTTGATGGTTGCCTCTGCCAATCATGATCGCCGTCTTGTTCGAGCCTTGCTCGATGCCGGTGCAGATCCTGGTGCAACGAGTGCCAGTGTTGAGATGGTGCTGGAGTGCCATGCCGAGGAGGAGTTGCAATCTATCAAAGCAAACCTTGATGTCACAGGACGACCCTTGATTTGTTTATAATATTGTTGTATAATTTAATGATATTATACATATATATATATGGTAGTCGATCGAAAGGTCGACATAAGGCCTATGTCACTGAGGGCCTCTTCAAGTTGTTCGCGAATGTTCTTTTTTGAGTTCGCAAAAGTAACATTGTTTATTCGCGAAAGATTTACTAATACTCTATATATGTTAGAAATATATACTTCATACTTCCTTCACTCAGGAGGAGCCTTGATTCCTGACTTTCGATGCAGTCTTTAGGCTTCTAGCTCACTCACATTGGTGATTTGGCTTGGCCATGCTCCTAGGCACAGTCAGTCATCAGTGACACATTCACAAGCCTTTACATTGCACAATATTGCGCAATCCCTAGGCCGTATAGTAACTCTTTTGTTGTTCGCTTTGGGCCTAGAAACTCACCAATGACGCGACATTTTTTGGCGAAAGATTCGTGAAAGTTCCGCGAAAGCATAGGCGAATGTGAAGGCCTGTTTTGTGGACCCCTGCCCAAGGGACCGGGGTTCGTTGTACACGCGGAATCCGGATCGTGTGCATACGTCTGTCCTGGATCGCTTGTGCGCGCGAAGTCTCGCTGCTGTTCTAGACCAGGATAGGAAGAGACCGGCTAGTTTTGGATGCAGAACAGGCTGCTATGTAGAACCACTATTATAAAGAAGATTTCTGGAGGATATACCCCGCGAAAGTTAAACATGGAGTTCGCGCAAGACTCGCGAAAGTAACTTGTTTGGCGAAGAATTGCCTTTCAGCAAGAAGGAATTTTGATCAACCTCTATATATACACATATAGAGACTATCGGCTTTTTCCAAATGCGTAGCAAAGAGTTCTCATTGAACTTTGGGAGTCTATATAAGGGTAGAGCGTTGTTTGCGTGACATGGCCGTCGTGTTTGCCACCGAGTGCAACTGTTTGCAACCGTTCGCAACTGATCCGGCATGGACTTGGCGGAAAGTGGGTGGCCCCGTGCCATTGGGAATCGGCCAGGACCAGGAACACGCGTGTGTAAACGGTAAGCGCGGCGTGTCGTTGGTGAGCGGGGCGATTTGTAGAGTGGCCCGATCCCACAAGAGTGACCCACAAGAGTGCACCACAAGACTACAAGGGTGTCCTCGAGAGTGTCCCACACGAGTGTCCCTCAAAAACGCCCCTCAGGAGTGACAGACAAGACTTTCCCACAAGAGTGGAGTGTCCCACAAGAGTGTACAAGAGTGTCCCACAAAAATATTGTGAAGGGCGCCCCGGAGAGTGTCCCGCAAGAATGTGCCACAAGACTGTCCCACAAGAGCCAAGAGTGTCTCACAAGAGTGTGCTGCAAGAGTGCCTTCCAAGAGTGTCCCACAAGAGTGTCGTCAATGCTTGGCCGTTTGTTTTCAAGTGCGTGTGTGCATTCGGGTTCGCGGGCCCCATCTGGCTTCTGGCAAAAAGCTACCACATCACAAGTGAACAACCGCCAAAACGTGCGTGAACCTGCAAAAAAAACGGCAGGCGGAGCCTCAAAGGCGATGGCGATAGCCAAATCCCTGCAGTTTTTTTGATATGTTCAGCTATGTTGACATTGTGGCGGCTAAAACCTGCAAAAGAGACAGGCCCCTGTCAAGAGCGATAACCTTGCTGAATCATGTCCTCTACTTGACAGTACGTTTTGGCAGAAACTCATCTGAGGATTGGAGAGCTATCTTGCGACTCCAAGTCTTCCATCTTTAGACACCGGTGACCAGCTCCTTGCAGGCGAAGAACTTCTACTGCCTACCTTTCGCCGAGTCTCTGGGCGAACAGCATTGCATGTGGCCCTTTTGCGTCCTGGCCATGAGAGTGGCCGGCTTGCAGTGCTCAAGGAGATTCTTTCTCAAGATGTCCCTGGTATCGTGAATGCGCAGGATGACTTGGGACAAAGTCCTTTGTGGTATGCTGCCAAAGGAGGTTTCATTGGATGTGCCAGAAGTCTGCTTCGGGCAGGTGCTTTCGTTTCGCTGGGGTCCATGTCTTCTTTGCAAGCTGCCATGAGGTTTCTGTCTGCAACAGGCAGCGCCAGGCTGACTTCCCGTGGTGAAGACATCTTTCGTTTGCTCCTTCGAAACGGAGGGTCCGATTGTGCTGAACAAGTCAGAGACGCTGAGACCTTTTTGGACACAGACTTGGCAGTGTGTAACTTGGAGACAGAGGAAGGCAGGAAACTCATCGACACAAGAATCAGCTGGTCAAGGTCTGGCGTTTACATTGTTGTTTCAGGTATTTTTGTTTCAATGTATCGCGATTCCAATGCTTTGATACGCTTGGGTGGTCTGGATACCCATTACACCTCTGTTCGTGAAGTCATCGAAGTATGGTTCCCAAACCCGAAACTATACAGCATGCTGGCGTGAAATTTCTACAAAGAATTCTACATGCTGTCCATCCGGCGGCGTGCGCATCACGCTTATACCCTGCCTCTTCCAAGCGCCTTTTATAACTCACCATGTGAGCGGTTGATTGACCAGCGCTTAGTGGCTTTCCCTGTACCAGAGCTGCTCTCCCAACGCAATGCCCATTACCAAAACACTGGCGTGCCATGTTTTGTAATATGCCCCTAACAAATGTTCAAAAACTTTAAAGTAAGTTTGGTCTTGGATAGACCATGTCGGGCTTTGGATACAAGCAAGTACATATTACTTGTAGCCTCTAGCAGACAAAAATTGTAAGAAAGACAAAACAAGTTTGGTCTTCCTTGCAAAGGATGACGCCTGTGGTAGTCATCCATTCTTTCCAATTACGGCAGATTTGGCTTCAGTGTCTGGATTTTCGGCGATAGTGATATTATCTATATATAATACATAGTTTGAGGGTATGCAGATGTGTCTTTGATCCTGGAAATCTATTCACGGTGCCTCGCGACGACAACCGCCCGCGCTGGGCGCCAGGAAACGTACAATCGCTCTATTTTCCGACCCCCTTCAAGCTGTACATTTTTCATTTGTCCAACTTATATCCAACAAAGCCTGCAGTTTTTTCCCGTATTTCACCGTATATTTTTTCATTCATCAATTGCAACATATTATCATCTCTAGGTCATCATGCATATTGTGAAGTTGATTGTAATCACTCTTGTGGAACGCAGCGGTCCTAAGCAGCTGCTGCTTTTTGGGCCGTGTGGCATACTCACCCACCAGCCAGAGACCTTGCTTTAGATTTTCAGATAGGAATGTCAGCCGTCTATTTTAGGGGCTCGACAGCGGGCCACCAGGGGGCCTAGAGGGAGGCGGCAGAGGTAAAGGTAAACAGGTGAGAGCAGGTGTCGGCGGTGGTTTTTTATTGTGGTGCTGTTTTGGTTGTTGTGGTGGTGGCGGTGGTTGTTGTTGCTTAAAAAAAGAAAATGCTAATAGTGCAAGGCAACTTGGGCAGCGTAACGCACCACAGTGCCACTTGCAGCAGTCTTGAGACGAGCGTATTAAAGAAATTGAAAAATTGAAGCATTGTGTTTTGCAAAAACGCTAAGAACCATGCGTTTTTCGATGCTTTTTGTGCCTGCGCTAGTCTCCGATTCGCGAGGTTTTCTAGCCTTCCATTTCGCCTGAGAAGGCCTCCAAGCCTCCTCCCCAGTGGCCCTGCCTGCAGGAATTACTTGAGGTACCGATGATCATGGTAGGAAGATCGGCGGCAACTGCAACCGTCCGTGCCCTCCAGGCAGCCGCCTTCGGCGGCGGGGTCCTTGTCCTCTGCCGTTTTTTCGTTCTTTACCTCTTTCTCATTTTCTCCCTCTCCCTCTCCCTCCTACCTTTCTCTTTCTCTCTCTTTCCTTCTCTCCCTTTCACTTTCTCTTCCTTGTTCTCTTTCTCTCTTTCTTTCTCTTCCTTGTTCTCTTTCTCTGTTTCCTTCTCTTGCTCTTGCTCTTTTTCTTTCTCTTGCTCTGTCTCTTTCTCTTTCTCTGTCTCTTTCTCTTCTTTTTGCCCTTTCTCTTTTTGTTTCCCTGACGAAGAGAAGGAGAGCAAGCAAAAACGAACAATGCTAATAACGCAAGTCCGCTCGGGCAGCATATCTTGCACCACGGTCATTTGAAAACGACCATCTTGGAGCTATGTTGAAGCTATGTTGATCCATCTTGGAGCGATGTTTATGCTATCTTGAGAATCGTTTCTAAAATACTCCTCCATCCACGCTTCCCAGTGCCCTGCGAGTTTCCAGATGCCTCCGATGGAGCGGGCCCGAACATCCCCAACAAATGTGCCCGTGCTGGGTCGGCGGCTCGCGGCGCGACCTCACCCGCACCTCCGGTAGGAGGGGCCTGCGGCAGTGCCAGGGCCTGCCCAGCCCGATTTGACCACGTCTGGCGTATGCCGGTTGAGCATGTCACGTTTTGAGAGCCAGTGGAGAGAGGAGTGCCAGGTGAGTCAGAGCGCAGAACTTTGCTGGATACCCGGACCCCGCACTTGCTCTGATGGACTCATTATGGATACTCCTGCGCAAGCTGCAAGATGTGACGATTTCTGTTTGTCGCAGCCGTCGTTCTTGTATGGCTGATGATGTTCGTTTGTTGGAAGAGTTTGTTTCGACGAAGCAGTTGCTAAAAAGATCCGCCGGCCTGCCGGCATGTCTTGTGGATGTTCTTGTACTTGTCTTCTTGCTTGCTATTGTCTAATGTTCATTGTTTATGTTGGATTGCTCCTTTTGCCTCGGCTTACGCCAACCGCCGGTTGCACCAAGCCACCATTTTGCCATTTTACACTAACCACCGCTTACACCAAGCCACGGTTTACACCAACCGCCGCTTAAACCAAACCACGGTTTACACCAACCACCGTTTACACCCAACCACGGCTTACAGCAACCACCGTTTACACCGAATGGAGCGACTGCAGAGTGCCGTAGTTGAACATAGTTGAACTGCATCTGCGGTCACAAAGACGCAAAAAACACCTTGGCTTCCCCCCAGTGGCATCTTCCCAAGAAATGGAGGTTTCTCAAGGTTGACACTTGGCACTTTCACTTCATAGTCATAGTGAACACCGTGCTCTCCGAACCATCAGGCAAATCGGGAGCGGGCGCCATTTAACCTGTGCTGGGTCCAGCTGACTCGAAAAGACAAGTCGGGGCATAATACTTTGCCAACCAGCATCCTGCGCCTGCTGTTCGGCGCAGATTTGCTTTAGTTTTTTGACTTACCTTTTCGTCAGGTCGTTGAAGTTGCTCTCTTGAAATGGGGACAAAAGGAACCTTGCTAGCGTACTGTTGTTGAGATATGGTGATCGAACATTTTTCTCGCTGTTGAACCCAGCGGCCCGTATATGGACATTCCTTTACATACCATTTCCCAAACTCAATTGTTCGAACATGCGTTCAAAAAATTTATCCCTTACTTCCAAAACGTCGTCGACGTGCGCCGTCAGTATTCCCATAAGCGTGGTGGGTTGAGCGTTTTTGTTTCGTGCCCACATCAAAACACGGCAAGAGTCTCGCCTCAGAACACCAAGTTCAACAAACGGTTGTCTCAATTTTCGCCACCGCAACCGTGGGGCGTTAGCTGATCGTCTTGGCATATTCCTGGGAGGCCCTCGCGGGGCGGTTTCATGACAAGATTCTGGCAGTCAAGGCCTCCGACAAAAAACAATAATTACTGATGTCACCAGCTTGCAAAACCCATAAAAAAGAGGAAACATTGACGATAACCAAAACCAGTTGAACTCCAATAGCATCAGCCATGAGGACATCCGTGTGAAGAAGATATGTCAGGATCACGGTCTCCCCAGCAGCGCGCGCAGCGTCCAAGTCGAAAAATGATTGCCACATATTGCCGCTCCTTCACTAAAATAGTTTGATCACAGACAAGAAGTGGGTTATATCAGAGCATGGTCGCGTGAATTTACAGTAAGTTTTTCAGGTTTTCGCATGTCTCGCATGTTTCTTATGTTTCCACCTGTTTGTAACTGTTGCATATTTTTGTGCATCTTTGTCATAAGCAATCAGATGTGTTCTAAAACAAATAACACCTCTCAATCCCTACACTGCTGATCATATTTTGTTTCTTGGGGAGAAGTGGCACAAAAGAAATGACATCGTCCACAGCGTAGCTGTGGTCATAGCTGTGCTGATCACTGTCCTGTTTGCAGTAAACACATTATTCAGGCCGCTTCGTGATAACAACCGCCCACCGATGGCTCTCAGACAAAGGTAAAATAAGTTTCTATAATCGCTCTATTTTTGCACCCTTTGATACATTGTTTAGCTATGTCTCACATCCATTTTGCAAGTATTGTTGGATCTACAGTATGTTTCGACCTCCTTGAAATTGTGCATTTCCAAGGGGGTCCAAAAAAAGAGCGATTGTGGACAATAATAAAAGTCTTGCTTGACAACTGCTTTCAGAGAACAACAGTCTTTTTGGGGCTGCACATTATGGCCATATGGAGTTATTGTTGAATTGAAAAATGAAAGAATGTATATGATGTGCGCCCTCTGAACAATGTACAATTTCGAAGGGGTCGAAAAATAGATATTGTATATTTTCAGGTGCCCACAGTTGTTTATACAATTTTATGCATAACTATTCTATTTTGCGACCACCTCGAAATTGTACATTTTTCAGGGCGCCGCATTATTTACATGTTTGCATGAACATAATTTGGAGCACTAAAAAGAGCTTCTATACCCTGAAAGCAGCGGCAAAATACAATATGATTGAAAGCATGATGATTTTCTACAATGAACCTCCCTGTGGAGACATGTATATATGTATACTGTATATATATATATATATAAGAGAAGAAATCCCTCAGCTGAAACCATCACCAGAAGTTGATGTACTGAACCTTGAATGAGAGGCTTTGCAGATGTGCATGTAGACTTTGGTAAAGATTGAAGCAAAGCATTTTTGGACATAGTCCTATGCTGTGAAATCGTGTACTGTAAACAGTTACATTGCCAGAAATGGCAGACGGCCACTCATACTGATGCCAACTACTTTGGCTCAAGCTTTGGAAAATGGGCTGCTGACGCGACCGGATACGATCGTTCGCGTTTTGAGTCGGCCTACCAGGAGATAGACCAAGGTTTTAGCTTTCAACTGGTTATCAGCCGCAAGAGCTACAAGGAGACCATTGGTTGAAAAACGAGATCATACACATATAGCATCGTGTCAAGCTTGGCATACGGAACACACATACCACGAAGGTGTG